TTTTTTTCTTGACAGGGTTTCACTCTTTTGCGCAGGCTGGAGTGTGGTGGCATGATCATGGCTCCTGCAGTCTCGACCTCCCTGGGCTCAGATGATCCTCCCACCTCAGCCTCCTGAGCAGCTGGGACAACAGGCATGTGCCACCATGCCTGGCTAATTTTTGTATTTTTTGTAGAGACGGGGTTTCTCAAGGTTGCCAGGCTGGTCTCCAATTCCTGGGCCCAAGGCATCTGCCTGCCTTTGGCCTCCCAAAGTGCTGGGATTACTGGTATGAGCCACCATGCTCAGCCCTACGTAAGCATTCTTTTAAAACTTACCTAAACAGAATAAGTGAATTAGAGCCCAAAAATATCCATCTGGATCAAACTAGAACACAGAATTAAAAAAAGAAAAAATGGTTATAAGTACAGGCAAACAGGATCCAGTATGGCCATCAGAAACCCTGTCACCAACGCAGTGCCAAGTGAGGGTCCCAAAATAGGACTCCCGGGGCCTACGTCAGTTCCTCGGTTCCCTCTCGTTCCTCACCCAGTTGTCCACAACATCTTCCTAACAGGACTCTGCCTCAACACCCCATGCCCCACACTGCCATCACATTGTGTTCAAATCCAAACTCATGACACCGTAAGACCTCTGTGACAAGCCCCCATCCACCCCTCCGGTTGCATGCACAGCCCCCTGCTGTCCCTTAACAAGGATTACTTGCATTTTCCAAGCATGACTGCTGCCCCCTCCAACTCAGCTGAGGGGACCCTCTAGTTCTTCCCTTATTATTCTTCATGGGACTTTACATCATAGGACACATCCTATTTATTTCTTCGTTATTCATTTATCTGTCACTATCTCCCCCTGCCCTCTCCTCTCCTAGATTGTACATTCCAGGGAGGCAGGAATTAGAACAGGGGCAGACACATAGCAGATGTTCAATAAGGCTGGATAGCAGGATACTCATGACCTCCAGGACTGCCCTCACCTGCTTTCTTCTTCTGGCTAACTCCTCCTCATTCTTCCAGATTTAAGTCCTGCAAGCAAAGTCTGGCTCTAACATCAGAGAGATCTGGGATAAATTCTAAAATCCCCACTTATTTGTTAGCTGGTGACCTTTTGGGCCTCCTTATTCTATGCTATGAAATGGAGATAATAATGCTCCCACCATTACAGAAATGTTATGAGATTTTAAATAACACAAGGCACAGAAAGCACTGGCACAGAGCCTGGCACACAGCAGGCCCCTGTCATTGTGGCTGCTCCGACTTCCGGAGGCCCCATGTCTTCTTAGATGCTTCAGAGCCTCCTGTACCCCTGCCCTCCCTATGTGATAATGATCTGTTTACTGTTTCCCTCCCCTTTGCTCCAAATAGACTTGACTTGTGCCTGAGCAAAGATTAATTTTCCTCTTTGTGTCCCCAGGGCCTGGCTCAGGGCCTGACACTTGATGGGGACCTAATAATGCTGGGGGAGAAAAGGAGGGAGAAAAAAAGAAAGAAAGAAAGGAAACCCAGAAATACGACCCACCCTCACTGGGGGTGAGGGTGGGTCCTTGGCACCTCATAAAGAAAATTCAACTTTAGCACAGGATAATAAAATAAAAATCACGCTGCAGGCTGGGCGCAGTGGCTCACATCTGTAATATCAGCACCTTGGGAGGCTGAGGCAGGTGAATCACTTAAGGTCAGGAGTTCAAGACCAGCGTGGCCAATATTGCAAAACCTCGTCTCTACTAAAAATACAAAAAAATTAGGCTGGGTGCAGTGGCTCATGACTGTAATCCCAGCACTGTGGGAGGCTGAGGCAGGTGGATCACCTGAAGTCAAGAGTTAGAGACCAGCCTGACCAACATGGAAAAACCCTGTCTCTACTAAAAATACAAAATTAGCTGGGCATGGTGGCTCATG